GAGTCCGCCGGGGGGGCCGGCAGGCAGGAGCTGGAGGCCTGGGGCCGCGCGTCCAGGCACTTCTGGTAGCGGAGCTGCGGGGAAGGGGAGTCAGAATGGGAGAAGGGGGGCTCGGGGGTCCCACTCGCCCTGCAGGCGGCCTGCAGCGGGGGGCACAGGGAACTGGGGGCTCGGGGGTCCCACTCACCACGCAGGCAGCCTGCAGCGCCTCGCTGAGCCCCGCGGCGTTGGGCTCACACCACACCATGTGGCAGCGGAAGGTGCCGGGCGCGCTGGCCATGATGAAGGCGAAGGCGCGGACGTCGCGTCCCACCCCCATGAAGGACAGGAACCGCACGCGGCACTCGCACAGCACCGCCTCCGTCTGGGGGCACGCGGAGGGGTCAGCACGGCACCCCGCCTGGGAGGGGATCCCCAAGGCCCCGTGGAGTGGGGGGACACGCTGTGTCCCCGTGGTACGGGGAGGGGTCCCTGCAGCCCCCCAACACAGAATGGGGTCACTGAGGCCCCCAGAGCAGGAGGGCATTACCAGTGCAGGTGGGGGTCACCATCTAGGGGGGTCACCAGTGTGGGTAGGGGTCATTGCAGCTTCCCAGAGTAGGACGGGGTTATCACAGTGAGGTGGGGGTCACCATGGTCCCCAGAGTGGGAGGGGGGTCACCACAGCCCTCCAGGACAGAAAGGGGGTCACTGCAGCCCCTCAGAGTGGGGAGAGGTCACCACAGAACCCCCCAGGGTAGGGGGGGTCCCAGGTGGACACACCTGGTGGTGGGCATTGATGAGAGTCGGGAAGTAGGGTGGGGTCCCCCAGGGCAGGGTGGGGGTCCCAGGTGGGCACACACCTGGCGGTGGGCAATGGTGAGGGTGGCAGGGGCCACACTGACCACGACAGGAGTGGGTGCGGGGGGCTCCCCCGAGCTGGGGGCCAGTGCCGCCTCCAGCGCCGCGTTGATCACGTCCATGCCTGGGGGGTACAGAGGGGTCAGGGCAGCCCTGAGGGTGCCCCCAGCCCACAGCATCCCCCAGAGGCCGGAGGGAGCTCCCTTGAGCCCCCCACTCACCTACAGGCTTGGCAACAGGGACACAGCCCAGGTAACACACGGGGAAGCGCTGAACCGCCTCACTCTTGGGGGCCGGGAACTCCACTGTGGGGGGCACGTCAGACCTGCCCAGAGCCCCCCAAAACCCCCCAGAGCTCCCCCACCCCTCAGTCCTCACCCAGCACACCCCAACACCCCCCATCTGCACCACCTCGCTCCTGGGGACTGGGAACTTCACTCGGGGGGCACTGTCAGGAGCCCCCAAAGCCTCCCTGAACCCCCCAACACCCACCCTCTCCCCAACCACCCCCCAGCACATGCAGCCTCCGGACACATGAGCCCCCTGCCC